GATCAATGGTGTCCTCAATGCTGAGAAATACAGGCAGATACTTATCCATCCATCCACCACCACCAATCAGGGAGGTGTGTGATTGGCCCCAAATTTATTCTGCAGCAGGACAACGACCCCAAAGATACAGCCAATGTCATTAAAAACTATCTTCAGCATCAAGAAGAACAAGGAGTCCTGGAAGTGATGATTTGGCCCCTACAGAGCCCTGATCTCAGCATCATTGAGTCTGTCTGGGATTACATGAAGAGACAGAAGGATCTGAGGCAGCCTACATCCACAGGAGATCTGTGGTTAGTTCTCCAAGATGTTTGGAACAATCTCAAAAACTGTGCTAGTGTACCTAAAAGAATTGATGCTGTTTTGAAGGCAAAGGGTGGTCACACCAAATATTGATTTGGGTTTTTCTTCTGTTTGCTCACTTTGCATTTTGTAAACTGATAAACATAAACGATTACAATATATATTTTTGAAAGCATTCTTATTTTACAGCATTTTTTCACACCTGCCTAAAACTTTTGCACAGTACTGTATGTTGATTATTAAAAATGTAAACTTATCCAGAATCTTATGCTTATTCCCACTGTGCTCATTCAGTCTTACTATCTAGTTAAGCTTATTTAAGATTGCAACCTAAATGTTTTGAATGTTGATGCTGCAGAATGATAGTTAGCGAGCACAAGCTTAGCTTAATAATAGCCAGTTGTAAAATAATAACCCCTGAGGCCACTATTGTTATGACTTGAAATGAGCTCTAAAATGTACAGTTCCGCCAGGTGAACTGTGGGGTCTTCAGTCACTCTCTGGCAACACTCTACATGTATGTTCCCATCCTATGGCATGTAAAGCATACCATGACATTTAAAGTCAATGGGGAAACTCCTACTGATACGGAGCTTCATATGATTGATAAGAGAGGGATAGAGGCTCCCTGAACTTGTGTAAAGGGAGTGGGAACTTTCATTATGGTTCAGAACGTAAGGCCTATATAAAGGGGAGACGGCTGCAGGGTTGAAACCAAGAAAGAGAGCAGGACGCACACACTTGTGCAAATGAGCAAGCTTGGGCAGAGTGGAAGGGAGAGTAGGGGTGGGAAGGCCCTAGTACTGACAGTGGTAATAACCTTTGAGTTGACAAGACTAGCTGCTTTCTCCTAGCGCTTTTGGAAATGAAGTGGATTGAAACCCTAGGAGCTTTCTCATACTCCAAGCGACTACTGTATACAACATGATACGCTTCAATGTTTATTTGTAACCTTAAAATTTAATAATGAAATCCAGAAATTTCCACATGGCTTTCAACTGGCTAAGTAGTAAAAACAAAGTTTATCATAAATTGTGAGGATAATTGTCATTTGTGTAGTGGGAAGTCTTGAGTTCTTCCTGCTTACCACTTTTTAACGTTTCATGTAGATGTTAACATGACACTGAAAGCAGGGCATTAATTTCTGATATTTCATTTTATCTGATTTATTTTTTTGTGGTTAAGCCTAAAGGCTTCTCGTGCAAAAGAAGATTGCACTTTGCAAAATCTAGAGCGGCTGAGTGACTATGAGAATCAGCTTCAAACGCTGAAGAATGAAATTGCTATCCTTAGTGCTCAGAAGTCTCTTCTTCAAAGCAGGTAAGGAACTGTGAAGTTTTTTGCAGTTTCTGACAGCTAAAAAGCAAGCTTCTCATGGGATCTACTTTAAGCAGATCTATTTCTACGTTCATTAGAGATTTCTTGGTTTTCTTGCTGACTACCTGTGATGTACTGGGGAAGTGGTTACATGTTTTCTGGATAAAGGAAGAATGTGCAGATGTTCTGCGCTGGAATATTTTGCCGATCACTATCCAGTTTCCCATGCTCTGAAAAGCTCATCATATTCCCTTGATCTGGGGAAAGAGACCATTTCAATAGATCTGCAATTCAGTATTCCAACCTGTCAATTCAAGATGAAACATCTTCCTCCCATGGAGAAAAAATTGTATCTATTGAAATATGATTTTTAATTTTTAATATTTTAATGTTTTAATCCCACTTTTATTACTTTATAAATAACTCAAGGTGGCAAACATACCTAACGCTCCTTCCTCCTCCTATTTTATCCACAATAACAACCCTGTGAGTAAGTTGAGCTGAGAGAGAGTGACTGGCCCAAAGTCACCCAGCCAGCTTTCATGCCTAAGGTGGGACTAGAACTCAGAGTCTCCTGGTTTCTAGCCTGGTGCCCTAACCACTATACCAAACTGGCTCTCAGTATGGCTCTTAATATTTCAAAATCTCAAAAAATATGTTGAATTAGGGAGTATTCAAGAAAATAACTTGATTTACCAAACTGAAGAAAACCAGAATCAAAAGCAGTAAAGTATCTCATCATGATAAAAGGTGAATAATAAAAAAGGGCAGGTGTTCTCGTAAGAACGATAGCAACAATAATACTATATTCCAAAATCCAGTTTTTTCAAGGGAACTATCTGGAACAAAGTGTTTGTAGGGGTAAAGATCTTGCCTTCCTGCCGTTTGGCAAATCTGTTTCAGGCTTGCACGAAGTCAATCTCCTTCTCCAAGATCTGCCCGAAGTAGATCACCTAGTCCACTTCCAATACGAGGCTTTTCACCTGGACGAGGGAGATTTACACATGCTTCGCGCCATGCTCGTCTTGTGGAACATTTCTGTAACATTTATGCTCAGGAACGCCTCGATGCTCAAAGCCTCTTGAGGAGCTATATTGATGATCTGGAAATGGTGCAGAGAATAATCTATGTTGCAGTTGAGGTATGACATTACAACTATTTTTTTAATACCATGCTTATTAATTTGATAAATATAAACAGATCATAAACTGCTCTAGGAACTTCAGTGCTGGAACCCCTGGGGTCAGGTCTCAGTACTGAAAACTGAAATGCTGATGTTGGTTTGACAATATGCTGATCACAGATTACAGATATTTGACAAGGAATGAGTTTAGTTGCATATACAGCCTCTCCCCAGATGACTTATAAGTGGCCAATGCTGGCTTGTTTAGAGTTTGTTTTTGGAAACTTGTATTTTCTCTACTCTTATTAATCATAGAAAAAGATCCATGGCTTGTTCCTCTGATTAGTGGGCCTGGAAGTCATTAGTAGGTGCGTGAAATCTCTGAAACAAACCCTTAAAAAAAACCAATAGCTGGTATTGGCAACTGAGAAGAACAGCCAGCATGTGTGCTTGGAAGTGTTCATAACAAATTATACGTCACTCAATAGGAGTACCATATCTGGGTTGCAAGAATCAAGATGGCCACTAGCTGGCAGGAAAGAGCAATTTCTGTATCTTTACTGTCATCTAGTGATTGTCCAAATTTTTGTAGCACAGATACATATTTGCCTTTATAAGTTTTTGAAAAAAAAAAATATTTTATTTTGTGGGGTCCTTGGGATTCTCTGAGCTTGGTTGCTTTCTTGCAAACGTTTCATTACCTGGCTAGGTAACATCTTCAGTGCTAGAATTCTAGCACTGAAGATGTTACCTAGCCGGGCAATGAAACATTTGCAAGAAAACAGCCAAGCTCAGAGAACCCTAAGGATCCCACAGTTCAACCCTGAGCTACATATATTCTCTTCTATTGATATTTTATTTAACTTTAATATGGAACATTGATTGTAATAATAAACACAACCCCTATTCTATCCCCATTTACTGTATAGGCATCTATACTTGGTACTCTGCAGCCGCCAATCATATTTGCATCATTCTGTAGATATGAATATGTTTTTGTATATTATTTATCAGATTTTTAAAAAAATCATTGCATCAGTTTAATAGGTGCTTAAAATAGCATAAATTAACAAGTGGATAAGCATTTTACCATAACATATGAGTATGAAATCACCAACATACCGTGGCATAGCATATCTATCTATCTATCTATCTATCTATCTATCTATCTATCTATCTATCTATCTATCTATCTATCTTTAAAAATTCCCCTATCACCCCTATGGGTGTGTGGGATGTGTTTTCCTCAATCTCGGGTCCTCTGCCAGAGGCCTGAGAATTTGAGGGTTCTGCGCAGTATCTCAGCTGTTCCCAGCACTGCACTCTTCTGGACAGAGAGCTCAGATGTTGTCCCTGGGATCTGTTGGAGCCACTCTCCCAGTTTAGGAGTCACGGCCCCCAGGGCTCCTACCACCACTGGGACCACTTTGGCCTTGACTTTCCACATCCTCTCTAGTTCCTCCTTCAGGCTCTGGTACTTCTCCAGCTTCTCATGCTTCTCAGTGAGTTGATGTCTCGTTCATTCTTAGTGTACAGCTTGATGTCATCCATGTAGAGGAGGTGGCTGATGGTGATTCCACTCTTGAACTTATTCCTGTATCCAGTCCTTGTGATTATTTGACTGAGGGGGTTTAATCCTATGCAGAACAACAGTGGGGACAGTGCATCACCTTGGTATATGCCGCACTTGATGGCCACTTGTGCGAGCTATCTTG